ACGTGATTGTATTCGAACAAAACAAACTTTGCTAATATGCTTATTTAATATATAAAGTTTCTCTGGCATACACGAGTGTATGTGGTATAAAACCATAGTCTTCCAATATTTACATCTTTGCGGATGTAGTACAGGCCACTGTCCCTGTTGGTCAATGTTTTGCTCCACCAGCTAGTCCTCTACAGACATATAATTCAAGATTTCATGTGCGCTTATTGTCATTGTAACGTAACATGACCGATGTTTCCAATGTTTCCTCTTATGCTGCCTCTTGCTGCTTGCTAAATGCATTTTGCAGCAGGCTAAACACTCGTTCAGCTGATGCTGAACTAGGCTGCACCAACAAGATCTTTTTGACTGCAGCAGACCAATTTGGGAGAGCAGCGGCATGTGTAGCCCACCACTGTACTTTGCCTTCCTCTGTTTCAATGGTTGCACCATCAGCAATGGCAAGATAGTTTGGCAGCTCTTCTACAAGCTGTACAAGTTCTGCATCAGTAATGAAACTAAATTGCTTTAGTTCCTGGACTGATGCAGCAGTTGGATTAGTGCTTGCACCTGTATTGGGCAGCATAAGCGTGCAGCCTTAAATGCAAGGACAATATTATGGAATTGCACACTGAATTTCTGTTGGTAAAAACGGAAGCCTGGATTGATACATGCCTTTGCTTGAGCAACTATCTGGTTGTACAATGCCATATTTCTACCTGCATGTTGGCGAGCTTTGGCCTCAGTGTTTGGATAAGATTCAATGGCTATTGCATGTGCTGATGCGGACAAACGCTCACAGCAAGTAAATACTAAGGGACCATCCCCCTCAAGATTATAAGTTGCTTGAACAAAGTGCTTGCCCACATCAATCATAGCAGCAGGCTCAATGTCTAAGTCTCTAGCAGTAGCTGGATCATCAAAAATCTCCAACAGGGTTGCATGGCAAACGGTAGACAGGTTATCATTTTCTCTTAGAAAGGGCTCAACATCCTCAAAAAACTCCATAATCTGATTGAGGACTTCCCATTTGCTCCACCATCTGGTTTTGGAATGAAGTCGCATTGCTGAGCCAGTTCTTGTCCTCCACAACAGCCAAGCAGCTGGACTGAGAGAAAACATGGTGTTCCAACACCTAGAAAATGTGTCTAAAACACTAAATTCAAAGTGTTTCCCAACATCATCGATTGTGTGTGAGAAACAGATGACATTAAGAATATTGGGGAAGAAAAACATGACTTGACGCAATCCAGCTTCATTGACTGATGCACCATCTCTCATTGCTGCTAGAAGATGGTTTGGTTGCATTCCATACTCCACAGCCAGGCACTGAATCAGCCTTTGACCAAGCTCTTCCGCATTCATGCTCTTGGCTAGAATTTCTAATTTGAGAAGCCTCTGCTGTATATTCCAATCTTTGTCAATGGAGCGAACGATGATTGCCAACGCTTCTCCAAGTCTGGTGCTCCCGTCAAAGATCACAGAAAAAGCACTTTTGGCAGGTATTTCGGATTTCACAAAGTCTATCTCCTTCTGACGAATCATGGGAATGAATGCTGCTAGATGGTTCCGAGATGTCAAGCGATGACCATATTTTTCAAGAAATGGTCGCAAACTGTCGACTTTTAAAAGTGGAATACCTGCCTTCAGTAGAGCTTCCACAAGCTCATATCGATAGAGCCTCATGTCTTCAGGTAATGTGGATCCTTTTGCTCCTCCGCTTATTTTTGCAAGAAGATCCTTGATATTTTGATCTTTCTTCTTGCTTTTCTTAATATTCTCCAGCGCTTTGATGTGTTTTATGGATGATACGTGTTTCTTGACAGAACTATTTTTTTTGGAAAGAGTTTCTCTGCAGGCGTCACATCTTAGATTTCCCGACACTGTAGTTAGGCACTGGTCTTTAAACTCGTTCACTCTATCCCACGCGGACACATTTGGATCGACTGATCCACGCACATTTCTCTTCTTTTCGGCTGGATTAGTCTGCACTTTTCTTTTCCGAGAGATACTGGCTTTTTCTGGAGTACTTAATCTAGCTCCAGCACCAGCTGCTACTTCTAAAGGATCTGAATACTCATCATCTTCACTCGAGCTCGAGCATGGATAATCACTCGGCTCCGCCATTTTAAATTTTTCAGCATATCCGCTGACCACCTTCGGCTGCTACCACAGGCAGACCACCAGGGGAATAGTGTTTTTGTTTACAAAAGGTATTTTACGCAAAATCATGCATACAAGCAACTGATGCTTTAAATTAGAACTTGAATGGGCGGTTTTTAGTTACAAATTGCCTTTAAAAAGCATGAAAGTTATTCAAAAAAGAAAAAAGTTGCACGAAATCCGAAAAGTTGCTCGAAGGACTAAAAGTTGCTCCAAATCTGAAAAGTTGGTCAAAAGTTGCCGAGTAACTTATGGACAGCCTTAGCCTTTGATCGCCCCCAAAAGGAATCTTGTTGAAAGAAATATTCTTCATCGAGTCAGGGGTATTCAAACAACCTCAAACTACACATCGAAATGGCATTTTTTTGCTCAAAAGATCGTAAACAATAGATTCCACACTCACTTTGCTTCTTTGATAAACTTGGCCTTACTATCGTGACGTCACGAATAATTGGGTACCAGTACTCTTTCACACGGCCGAAGAGGTACGGGAAGCCTAAATTCGCTACAATTTCGGACTTTTATCGCCTCGTAAAATAATAGACACATCAGAATCACTCACAAATCTTACCAGACACCCTCTACATGCTTCTATTTTTGTGATTTAATGCTAAAAAATAGGCGTCATAAGGACTTTAACAATGGTGCACTGAAAACCTTTTCTCTCTTAGCTTGAACAGTTTCATTGGCAATGCTGGCTTCAAAAATTTGCACTTTGAGTGTGGCTGTTTCAATGTCGTTGAGCGCGTCTAAAAGTTCTTGTTGCCAAAGTAAAGCATTGCATCTTTCCTTTAATTGTAATCTTTCAATTACTAGTTGTTAGCATGACTCAGCAACCGCCTGATCGACCTTCACCTCTTTTATTTTTACACTTAAGTGGGAACTTGAACACTTACTGCTCTTTGTTGTCATCAGCAAAAACCTTGAAGCCGGGTGTTCCGCATCAATTCTATCACTTTCAATTCCAATATAATTTCTGAGAAGAAATCGCCAGTGCCATCCATACATACATACTTTATTTAAGGCGGATATACACTAAACTTGAGAGCTAGTTTACAGGTATTCCACCCAACAACTAATTGAAACCTAACAACGAAACAGCACTAATGTCACAATACATCAGGTAAAATCACGAATCAAGTATTGATTAAAACTATTTAAAACTATTATTACAATATTACCGCCGCAGTCAAAATACTAGTCAAAACTAATGTTACGAATTTATTAATCCCCGAAATTTAAAGAGCTAATTCTGTTATTGCATTGGTGCCTACTTTTATTCTAATGTCATTTGATAGTTCATTCCATTTCCAAAATATCTCCATGACTTGAGTCCATATTTGGTAGTGTTAACTTTAGGTAAAGATAAAACATCCTTGGCGCCTAAGATTGTACTTAGATGAGCGTAAATGAATAAGATTCCTAATTGGCTGTAGTGCTCTGATGGAGATACTATTATGTATCGTCAATAACATGTCTTGAATTCTTCGAGATTCCACTGAGGGTAGTCTTATCCTTCCCAAGAGATGCTAATAGGATGCATGTTTATCATTACAGACATATCTCAAAGCCCTTTCGATGACTTTTTTGATTTTAGTAGTGTTTATTTTTCCGCAGTGGTACCAAACTTGATTGCAGTAACAAAAATTTGGTAGTATGAACGAACGATATAGTGATTCCATGGTTTTAAGTGGTAAAATGTTTTTCAGTCTATTAAGGGTGTTTATTTGAGCACTCACTTTGTGACAAATACACGAGACATGATTGTCAAATTTTAGCATACTGTCGAGTACAACCCCAAGATGTTAGTCTTTCTGCGGTTCTGATATCAATATCACCTGATTTAAAGAGTAGCCTATCTTCTGTTCTGTTAAGGACCATAGCCTGGTACTTTTGTGGGTTTAGTTTTATGCCATTTCGAATAAACCATGTAGTTGAGTTCTCAAGATCCCCGTTTAGATAGTCTTCAACAGCACGTACGTTCTTATTGGAACAATGGATATTTGTATCATCCGCATAATTGATAATCCTGCATTGTGTGATTGCATACGTCAAATCATTATAAAAATATTAAACAATGTAGGTTTAGAAGACAGAGCCTTAAGGGACTCCTCTTAACACCCCTTCCCACGTGGAGAAAGCGGTACCGAGCTTCACTCTTTGATGGCGAGAAGAGAGATAGCTTCACATTAGAGATAGCGCATGATCACTTAAGCCATAGAATTTAAGTGTTTCTAGAATTCAGTCATATGGTAGACAGTCAAAGGCCTTACTTAAATCAATGGCTATCGTGCCGATAATGTTGTGATTATCAAGATTCTCCTTCCAATGTTCAGTAAGTGCAAGGAGTGCCGTTGAACAACCATGATATTTTCTGTATCCAAGCATAGAATTATGAAAAATCTTCTCTGAATAAATTGTCGATTATTGATGAATGAGATGTTCAAAGATCTGGGAGACAGCTGGAAGAACTGTGACAGGTCGAAAATTCTCCATAAACAATCCATGCAAATTTTGAAGGAAATGTCGCTTAATACTACACATTCTACGCCTCACATGACTGCACGTTTAATCTAATTCCTAGATAGACAAATGTTTAGATGTAAAGATGTGTAAATGTGTCGATGTGATTGACTAAAAATGATTAATTAAAACAAATATCTAAGTACAAATACAATGACAACAAGAATAACGACAGAGTTACACGAAAGAGGAACGAACTTACAATTTGTGACGTAACCAGGTCTGGCAGTAATACTCTTACACAAAAGGAACACGGCGCTAGCAAAAATTAGCAAAACAATGAATAGAAATGCAAAATCTTGTGGCAACAAGTGCTTTGTAATGGAACATATGAGGTCTTGATATGCTTACCATATATGGTAGTCGTGTAACAACCCCATCTCACTCGCTTGCCATAATTACGCATAATCTTTACTTCCCCACCCCCATCCTTTGTCTTATTTTTGACTATCGACTGCCCCCTCTATACAAATTTCTTTCTTTCCCCAGCCTTCCGCTGCCATTAAACTCAAAGATGGCGGTAATAATATTTTAAAGAAAATACTAAGAACTAGCTTGTCAAAATTACATGTAATCTTCACCTCTTCTGGGAGAAACATCCTTTTCCATTGATGTTATGAGGCTTGTGGGTACAGCTATCACCAGCTTTATCATCACTTTCATTTCCTCGGTAAGGTTGAAGAAATCACAATTCCACCATAATAAGGAGAATATCAACGGATATAGCGCTAGTCCACGGTAGAAATATTATTAATGCACATTCACAGGGTGGGGGTCCCTCTTATTGCATCAGGACTTTCCAGAGTCCTGCACGCTAATTGGTAGGCCGCTGTGCCTCCCTACTTAAAGAAGGGCGTGTGTAAAAAAGTCAATTTTTCTTCGGGAAATCTGTTTATCGCCAAAATCATGATAAAAGGGAAAACATTTTTCATTACCTATATGTAAAACTTAAAAAAATACGGACAAGCACGCACCAGGAGTAGTTCTTTTGTTAACACCATCCGCACTATCATCAGCATCCTCAACATCAAATTTGCCATCAGTTTCTGAAAGATTGGGGTCGGCAATGTCTGGCACAAGTTTTGTAATTAGCACATCAGATGAGCATACAAAAGACATTCAGTAACTACCTGAGTTCTTATACATCAAGCAAAGAAATGATACACAAATTTCAAATTAAGACCGGTCTCACTAAAAACTACAATAATAGCAATATCAAAGACAACATCATCATTATAATCATCATCAACAACAGTAACAATAACAACAATAACATTAATAATAATAATAATAATAATAATAATAGTTAGAAATAGTGTTCACTAGAAATGCCCCCACGCGCGAAAACTTGTTTATGACAATGTGTATTGAATATAAATACTGTGGATACGGCTGTTGAAAATTTCATGCCAAAACTTTTATTGAAGTTAGCACCCATGCAAGTAGAAAACATATTTGTAAATTGGACGATAAAATATATTATAATCCTGCAGTATGATATGAATATTCTGTCTAACAGCAACTTATTTTATGTTAATAAATTTGTGTAATGTTTGGGAAAAAATATCACCAATAACCACTACATCAATAATAGCCAAACTTACAACAAAGTATCGCCAGAAAATATATTGGTTCACAATCTAATTACCCAAAAACCAGGCCATATAAATTTCGGGATTTCTTTCTGTCGTGTCTCAATGAGGTTATGAGTTATGAAAAGGTTTTATAATCGTTTAATTTGGTGCACTCTTCTAGCTGAAAACTTGGACTTAAAGTCTTTTTTTCTGCAGTTTTAACTTCAAAAGCTCAAACCGTCACTGTTTTGACTGAAAAATTAAATAGAAGTTACTAAATCACTATTTTAAATTCACCTTCTGCAGTAGCGTGTTCAACTGCTGTGTGGCCCACTAAACAATTAATGGCCTCCCATCAAGCAGAAAACGACAGCACACGGTCTCAGTTTCAATCCCACCAACATGAGTAGCTCCATAGGCCATCACGCTGATGTGATTACCTCTTTGGTAAGCTGGTCTTTACACACTTTTCCGATCACTTACATTTCTGTGCACGACTTGTCATTTGAATACGTGGAATTAATTCTTCTTTTGAAGCGCCAAGAGTTCTTTGAACTTGCTGAAGGGTAACTCTTCTTTGGCCGAGAAATAGACAGTGTTCAGCTTTACTGCCATTTCCCTCTGATTTCTTTCCCATTTATCTTTCGTCCCCTTCCAAAAGGTTTTTCACGATTGATGACAACTACACAGATTCACGCTTGGCTTGCATGGCCTGTAAATGACCATTGCTCGTTTCATGAATTTGAATGGTTTCCTCTTTAAAAGAAGTTCATCCAGAAAGGAAAAGTGACTTTCCGGCCACCTCAGCTGGTGCTTCAAGGCAAATGCTGCAGGTCATGGAATTATCTTGTTCTGAATACACCAGCCAGGGAAACTCCTCTTTCCACGTTGGAATGAATTTCCTTTTCTTTGTCGGAGCCCATGGTGGTGATGCAGGCTTCTTAATGCCCTGGCCATTTAGTTTGTCGTAAAATTCAGCCTGTTCCGAAGTTCTTCTCTGAGATGGCCTGCTGGGTAGAGTTTGGGAAGTGCTTTCTGATTTCTTCTGAAACGCAAGAAGGGTCGGCTGTGTTTTTGGTTTCATGCTTATTTGTTTGTTCACAGTTGTTTTAGAATGGCTCACTGTTTGGTTATCATTATGTTTAGTGGTACAAAATGATTTGGGACAAAACAGGATCCAGGGCGACTGTAAAAAGCTCCAACTCTTGACCATCAAATGTTAATTTTGTTGATCTGTGATCCTGAATCATTCCCTTTAGCTTGCGATAGCTTTGGCATTACAACTCTATGTAACAATTTTTGCAATGGAAAATTGACATTGGGGTATAGAGAAAAAATTGGCCGTAAAATTACGGATGCAAAAGCCAGGATATTCAACATAGATGACCACCCGCCTGCACAGGCAGTAGTTAAGAGATTGTCTCTGTTAGAGCGGTCCGGTCGATTTTGCTTGAGACACGGATTTCGCTCATTTCTAGTGTGTTGTAAGACATTCATGTACCTATACTAAAACCACAATCCGTTTGATCAGATCTCTTTATTTTTCAGAGTTTTACGGAAATTAAATTTCACTCGAGCGAAGACCTGTCGTGACACTTTTCAAGACTAATTTAAGACAACTCAGCAAACAACAAATACCACAGCCATGTATATTAACTCCATGTTATCCATCGAAGTGACTTTCGTGAACATTACGTTTCAATCAAGCAAACAGGAAGACTTGAATGACACCTTATCGGTTTGCTTAGATCGCACACGCGAAAACCAATCAATTTCAAGGTAGATTTTTGAAAAAGTGAGGCGTTCTTTACTGATCCAGCGAGGAAGTAGGTGCCATAGGAAAGGTAACTACCAAAAAAAAACTTTGCGGCCCGGCCTTTACAAAAATTCTATAACTCTGTGAACTTACCTAATTTTCGGCAATCTCCAAGTTGGGCCGCCATTTTGAGGGACTTGTCAACGTGAAGCATAGCAGATATAAATCAAGCGGGTAGATCTAAAACTGTCAGAAATACATACGAAAGCAATTCAAATGAACTTTACTTTGAATTCAAGTGGCAAAATTTGAAATTGTTCGTTAAACTTACGATCCCCATGCGACCATTTCTTCCAACAATTCAAACACTACAACTAGTGTTCGAATTCCCCTCATCGATTCCACCGTAAGAAATAACCTGTGCCACCCAAGCTTCGACTCGAATGTGAAGTACGAGTCAAATAACATAACTGCTTCATCTTCGAGACAATATCACACTGGTATTTTGATTTTCTGATAGACAAGAACGGTGATCAGGAAGCGATCGCCATGTTTACCTCATAAACGTGACCAGCCGCTGAGTGAAAACAGTATGGCGCGGATTGGGGAGGGTGGTGTGCTTATCGTCATACAATATTCGAATACATGCTTAAAAAGCTTTAGGACTCTCAGTCTAAACAGTGAAGGCATGCTTCGTGGTATAGACAACTGTTACTTTATTTTCATAAAACTGGTATTAAGAGGCTGTCTCTCTTGTTTCCACCCGGTCAATTTTGCGTGCAAAAATAATTTTGCCTGAAACTCTGTTAACAGAAAGACTTTACTTAGGAAAGAACTAAATTAGATTTGGTTTGATTCGAAATAATTTTCTGACAGCATTACGGGCCATAATTATTTCCCAGTCCGTAGGGACCGTCGCAACGTCTCGAAAATTGAAAAATAGGCATATTTTGTAACGTTGTAAAATATTTGATTCGCATAGTTAAGCCACAGAATTTATATCAGATTGCTTAAAAACCTTTCTAGTTTGCCAAGAAAGTTAGAATTTGCCCTCTCAACATATTTGAAAAGGCGAATTTTAGCATATTCTGACCACTAGAAATCGCCATTAATCGCCATATTCTGACCACTAGAAATCGCCATTAAGCTTTACAACGTTATCCATGTACCTGTCAGTGCATGACTGTTGGAATGTCGTTACACACTACCTCCCTGATAAAGCCTGGGAGGGTACTTTTCTGCAGTTCCAACCCTGCCACTAAAGGGTCGTTAGTACTTTTTTCAACTGATCCTGAAGTCAGACCCAAGTTCTCCTTAATATGTTGGGTTTTGTCTGTAGTTTCTTGGAAGAGAGCTTGCATTAGCTGCCCTAGATACCCTACCTTGGCTTATCGTTGCAAACAGTGCTCGTTTAGTGTTATATTTGGTATTAGAGACATTTTATGTTACTCTTTCCTTCGTGCTCTCCCTTGTTGTAATGTATGGCTGTACGGAATTTTGATTGTTTCCATGGAGTTTACCCACAAATTCATCTAAATAATAGCGAAGAAGAAGTATGGGGAACCATTGTGATATGCTTTCCCCATACTTGATGGAAAATATAGTCCTATGGTACTTAGGACAAGACATATGTAGGGCCGCTTGCGCACAATAATGGGACCTTTAGTGATGACGACGAGAACGTGGACCTGGGACAGGACCGTTGTCCACGGTGGGAAACACAAACACTTTAGCACACCGGTTACGTGGACGAGGATCGTGGACGAGTGTTTGAGAGTAACAGCAGCATTTTGTTCCTGGAGGTAGAGGAAAACTTTTCTTTTATACGTTTTATTTGTTACGTTATTTAGGGATGAGGACTAAAAGTCAGTCATTGAGTTAATTTCCAAATCTTGCGATCTCTCAAAGCCAAGGATTTTAAGAACTAAAACAAAGGATTTGGTTAATTAGTGTTAATTTCAATGATTTGTCATTATTTACGCGGCTCTGGCAGGAT